AAGTTGTTGGTTATGTCCAGCATTTTTCAAGGGTTTGAAAATGGGTTGCCTTATTTTGCACAAAACTTAAAATCATTAAAATTAGAAAATCTTACCCAAAAATTAAAACCCTTTGGCTCTGGACTTGAAAACATACATTAACAAGAACAATATTGAACTAAGATTCGGTAAAGTAAGAAATATTGGAAACCCAAGTTTGAAGAAAGCATACAAACAATCAAACCTGAGAGGAGAGGCAGATAGTTGAGTGAAGACGAAAGGTAAAATTATGCAAATCGGCAGCAGCAGAGCAGAGATATAGATGAACAAGTACACATACAAGGGGGGCTTTGGTCATAAAGATTCTGTGATTTTCTCTCTTGTATAATTTTGCTTTGTTTTCAACACTACTTCTGAATTTTTCAACACTACTTCTGAGAGAGAGAGAGAGAAGAAGAAGATAGAGAGCTGAGAGAGGAAGAGAGAGGGGGGGAAAGAAAGAGAAAGATATGGGGAATCTGATTGCCAAAAATGGCAACCAGATTTGTGCATGGATTTTGCATTCTTCATGTATACTATTGCGGAAAGTTTTTATTGTATTTTTATTACATCTTATAAATTATAATTGAGAAATTTTTAATGGACAAATTAACGATCACCCTGAGGTAATGTCAAAGTACGAAAAAAAAATCATTCATTTTTGTATAATTACAAGCACCCCCTTCAACTATGTATTATGTTAAGAAAAAATTCCTCCAGTTGATAAATTTAGGGGCGTTCATCGGAATTAATGTACAAAATTTGCGGTACGCCAAAATTTCATATCGTTTAGCGTTTAGTTCGATAAATAACCGAATCCCCAAAAAACTATTTAAAATATTTATAATTTTGATTTTTTTAAGGGATAATTAGTGAGAACCCCCCAACACATTAGGATATATTAGGATGGATCTACACATTTTTCCAATATTAGTGAGACCCCCTTAATTATTTAGTTAAATTAATATTAATATAATTATCAAATATTATACCTATATTACCCCTAATTGTCAGATCTTATAATCACAAACCCTAGCCACATATTTTTATATTCAAAACCGCCATTCTATCATCCCTCTTCACGTTTTCTCTTCTTTATCGGTCTAGAAATCCATGGCGATGGAGGCGGCACCGGGGCAGCAAAGGCGACGACACATGTCGACAGGGGCGGACCCAGGGGGGTTTTCTTGGGGGGGCGGAAATATAGGGGTAATTTAAGAGAGAATTTTTTTTTTTGTTTTTAGGGACTAAAGTGTACAAAATTAAAAGTTTGGGGGGGCGAACGCACCATCTCCTCCTCCCTTCCACCTTCGGTTCTCCAATAACCGGAAATTCTCCAGACCGATGAGATATTTGTTGTAGAAAGCAAGGATGGGGGTATGTTGGTGTTCTTTTATTTGCTTTGTTTGTTTTTATATGCTAATAATTGTTTAAATTATAGAGTAGTTTCTCTTGTCCATGTTAAAAATCATGGTGGTTTGCAATCAGAAAATCAAGACTTGACGAGAATGCTCGAAGAAAACTATTTGATATGTCTGGATGTGTTGCGATGTTCATGGCGTTTCAATTTCGGAGAAATAGTTGTTTATATCATTTTTGTAGTTGTATTTTCAATTTTTTATAGTTGTTTTGTTAATTTT